ACTCTCTGGGAGCTTGCGTGGGTTCTTGGTTTCACGGAGTGGAAATTGCAGTATTTTGTGAACACACTGCTTGGCTTCGAGGCATCGTCGCTGGCACAGCTGCTCGTGACCACCTGGCTCAGTGGCTCTGTTCGTGTATCACCATACAACAGTGCCCGGAGCAAGAATAACAAAGGACAGGCAGTGTGGACCGGTGTCCTTCTGTCCATGAATTGCGTTATGGTGGCTTCCCAGTGGAGCATAATCGTCCTTTACATGTACTTGGAGAGTTTCAGCACGATTCTGTCAGCTGTCTTTCTGAGCCTCGCTACTGCAGCATCTGAGCTGCTAACAGTGTCCTTGATTGAGAACATCTACGTGCGGCTAGTATGGCCGCGTGCATTTGCCGATCAGAAGAGCGTCGTCCTGGGCGACCACAGTGGTCCCATCACTGTCTTGAATCTTGGATGAGAGAAGCACCTTGGGAAACTCCGGCTCCTTAGATACCTCAGCTTGTCAACCAAGGATTGCTTTTACCCATGCGGTTGCCGAAGGCTCGCGCCTGATCAGTCTACTTGGCGCCGCTGCTCGTAGTCAAGGCTGGAACTGGCAGTGGGTCGGGAGTTTCTGGGCCTTGTTTGGCATTCTTAGTGTTTTGCGCAAGCATGCGCATTAAATTCAATCCATGCAAGCAGCTCAGGCTTACTCATCATGTTGAGCACCAACATAGCAGTTCGGCATGGATACCACGTGAGTTTGTTTAGTCGTGTCGTACCAAAACGCATGCACATCTGGGTGCGACCGGGATGCTGCAGCATGATCCATCGTCATTGCCGTGTGGTTTGTGGCTACTTTCGCTTCATCCCCTACATCTCCTACATGAGTTTCCGGCTGATTGGCCTCAGGGCTGAACCTCTGTTCAACCCCCAGACGTTGGCGCTCTATTTCGCAGTCCTATTCATGGAAGTGCTTGAAGATGCGATCGTGCTTTTGCGCATCTTGCCTCTGGACCCCTGGCAGACAGACATGAAGCACTTGTATGCGGAGCTGCACGTTTTCCACCCGAAACAGGTGATGTGCAGGGATTCGACAGGTGTGCAGGAGCATC